TGAATCTAGGCTTTGGTCAGCTCATGTCTAGCAAGTCTTGTGGAAATGAAGCAGACTTACCATCCATACACCGGCGTCCTCCACACGCAGACGCCAGCCTCTCCACCCGGAAATATCGCCAGACTTTGTCTTCTCGCCATATCGATAAAGGTTTGTTGTGTCTCGCTTGACTGGATTGTAGTTCTTCAGCCGCTCCTCGTTCTCGGTGCTATTGTAAGTTCCATTGCCACTGCCAATGTCCCAGTAATGTCCGCCATGAGCATGAAAGGGATGGAAGTCGAGGCCACCATTGCCATTGACCAGTGATCCAGTGTTGTGCCAAATAATCTCGAGAACCTTGGATCATGTCAACTCAATATTCTATTGAGTGAAACAGAACAGCATCAAACACTCACCTCGCCCATCTTTGCCGGCCATGTCAACGTAGTCGGATCCCAGCCGTTGTTGTTCATGGCGGCAGTGTAGTTCGGAATGGCAGACGGCCCGTTCTCGTAGATGTTGATCAGGTAGGGCTGATCTCCCGCATAAGGCGTCGAAGTCTCGTTCCATTGCAGTCCGTTGAGCTGCCAAAGGGTAGTCTGGGTCGCGAGTTGACGATTATCGATGTGAATTTGCCGAGTTACTTCGCTAGCCTGGGGGAAATTGTTTGGTACCAACGGTTCCAAGGCATACTCTGCCCATTCATACGTCTTGTTGGAAAGTGTCAGAGGAGGAGTGACTGGAGCTGTTGTAATCTGCGGTTGTGCCTTGGCGTATCGTAGTACGCCATAGCCCTGGTACACCTTCGGACGGTCTTTGGTCTCCAACTGAATAAGGTAGTCGGTTTTCCCGTTTAACTCTGCCTCGGTCTTAGTCTTGAAGATGACATCAAAACGCTGACCCGAAGTCAATTGCATGAACTTCTCAGTGTGAGGTTTGGTATAGTGACCATCAGCTTCGATGATGGTAAAGTTGTCATGATCCACGATGCCTACTTGCACCATGGACAATGCCGTAGCACCAATGAAGCGCATGCGATAAGTTTTTCCAGGCTCCACGTCGATGACTGGTAGCTTGCAGTTTCCATTTCCGGCAGTCTCCCCAACAGAGACTCCGACGCCGTTGATGAGGACCGCATTCGTTTCGCCAGACCAGGTGAAAGGCGTTGCCACGAGGCCCTTCTCGATAACGGTGTCCGTTTTGTTGAAGTAGTCGGTGAGGAAGACAATCCTCTCCTCATCATATGCATAGGGGGGCTCGGCCTTGTCCTCAATGATCAGTGGGCCAGAAGCTGTCATAGCCTGGAAGCCGACATGAGAATGGTAGAAGTAGGTACCGGATTCGGATCGTAGGGGGTAGACCTCGTAGTCGAAGAAATGATCAGGTGGAATAGGCCACTGGGTGGCGGATGGGCTACCATCAGAGAAAGGTGCCATGCGCATGCTCAAACCATGCCAGTGGATGGTTGCATTGTGGTCTGGCATATCATTGTAGACTCTGATCCAACTTCTTCGCCCAGGCTTGAGTCTGAGCGTCGGCCCGAACAATGTGCCATTGATCAGGGCCGACATTCTTGTCTGGCAACCAATTGAGACGTTTTCGTAGGTCATTTTCAACACAAAGTCCGGCGTAAAGCTGGCACCATGCTTCTGTCGACCTCCATAGTGACCTGGGGGCCCGTGATCCGACTTGCGCGGGCCCCAAGCAGAGACCTGCGTAAGCAGGGCAAAGAAACAAAGTACCGAAACGAACAACTGCATCATGGTCAATGAACGCACAGAGGAAAGAGGAGGGTGTGGGAGCCGAGTACGTCGAGCAGAATCTGGCAAAGGGCCTCACTTTAGATGTATGCTCACGAACCCCCTTACTCGGCGCCCTGTCTCAGAGCAAAGATGAGGGAATGCCATCATTGAGTTAGCCTTCTGCGCTACCCATTCCAACATCACCGTGGGCATTCGTAGCCCCTCTTCGTTCATTCCACTAATAAAGTTACCGTTGCGTTCACCCGCCGAAGCGTTGGCTTCGTTCCTCGTCGGCGGTACACGCACACGTTGCCGGCACTGCAGGTCAAGCGGCCCTGTGCCGGTTTAGCCCCGCGATGCAAACCTAAAATGTGATTGTTTCCAATCGGAACTCCCTAGTGCTGCGAATGCGAAGAGAGTGGGCTTGAGTAGCGTTGTTGGCTTTGGAATAGACTTTGGTTGATCCTTGTACTTATTTCAAATTCCAATTAAGCCTGTTTCTTTGTTTGATGGTTGTTCCCGAAAGTCCGTCTCGAAGCTATGTTGTGCATTCGGCCACCTCGTGTCCGGAGTTCTCGGACTTGAAGTCAAGGGTCTCTTGAGATCTGCGGGCGCTTATTAGATTAGCGTCCGCCCTAGCAGGCCAGCTCACCTGCAACTGCACGCCAAAGGAATTCAACAAGCCCTATAAGGTTTGATTCGACTACGGCGTAGGCCGACCCCAGATTGGGTTCAAATGAAGAGTACCAAAAAGTCACATATCAAGAGTCATGCTCGCCTGCTAACCTCTGTCATAATCCGACAAAATTCGATGATCATTTTGACACATCGCCTTCGCCGACGCTGGAAAGCACCTAGCGTCTCTGGCTCTGGATTGAGGTGGATAATTCTGAATATTTACGGGAATATGCAGTTGGCCATACTTTCATCTGACTCGAGTGAGCGCGGAGACTCCAACAACATTACAAGCCACCCGGAATCAATCTTGCCTAATACGATGAAACTCATCGAGAACATTAGGGAATTCCATTGCATCAGGGATAACTTCGACGAGCCAAATCACGGATCCTTCTTGATCGAGGGTTCACACCTTGCCATGTACTTCGAATTGCCTGCCAAGAGGGGAGAATTGACAAAGAGGACAAAATGGACAGCTGCAAAGCGGCCACTTCCACACTTAGTTGACTGAAGACAACTTCGAGGAAGAGGTGTGAATACGGCATGCATGCATTCCTGATAACAGGAATGCCTCAATTTCACTAACCCTTCCCAAACCCCCGGTTCTTAGATAAGTAGCCGGCACCACAAATCTATGCAAAGGGTTACCGAGCCTGCTCGATGGAAAAGTGATGTTACCAAATAGCAGCCGGCTATCAGAAGGTTCCACGGTTCAAGACTGAAAGCGTCATTTTAATCCACAATTTGATGCAATATGTGTTAGTTTCCTGTTGAGTCAAGGTCGCCTAATTGGGGCTTGAGGGATCCAGCCAACCTAGTGACCTTGTCAACGGGACTCTACACATCGGAAAGCGATTCATGACGCACTTGAATCTCGAATTACACAAATATGTATGCAACAGATCATCCTCGCAAGTACTTAATAGATTACCATATGGCTCAGGAATCTAACTTGAAAAGCACGCACATTTTGGTTAGAAGAGACCGATCCCATTCATGAACTCTCGGATGTGGGAAGTTTCAATAATGCTAGAAGGTTAATTGGAGACAGAAAGGGTCTGTGACCATTGTTAAATAGACAACTACGCTACTTCAGTCACATAACCTCTCAGGAATCTGCTTTAGTATAGTACAATGGAGTTGGCTGATAGAAAGCTTTACATGAAGACGTATTTACAAGAACCAATGATGACATGTTAGAATGTGGCAGTTTTTTGTTTATACTGCCACACTTGCAGAGGTATATCAGCCTGCACAAGTTGACTGAGCAGTGAGCAGTGTCTCCGTACGTGTTAGCTGGTCTCAACGTCTGCGGTCTTTTGGTCTTAAACGCTAAGAGCGCGGTTGTAAGCCCACAATAAATTAATGACAGGACTTTGACAGTATTCTCAATAGTGAGGCTTATGTAATAAATATGGGCTGGAAGATGGATTTTAGCTCGCCTATGTTTCTTAAGGCGAAGGCGGTGAGAATTTATCGATCTCAAGATCTCAAATCTGTTCAGGCAATACCTAGACAGTTTGGCAGCCGCTTAGTAATGAAGTACTGTGAATAGTGCCGTTCAGGCGCTCGCGCCTCGCGTTTAGTGCAATGAGTCCGAGAACACGACGTTAGCGCCTCGCCACCTCACAGTTCGGGAGGAATACTACGCAAAGATGCAGAGACCCGCTGTATTGGCGTGAAAGCGAAAATCACACTGCTCCAGGTGTCAAGTGACGGTTTTCTGAAGAGAATGTGCTTCTGATTCAAAGCTATGGAGTATCAAGTAAGAGCGTCCGCTTTGAGATGCGGGAGCAGCCGCGTCACTAGCGAGAACTTTGTCAATGTAGCATGAACATTAGGAACAAGCTGTCCGTATATCGCAACGCCCTTTTCAGGGTAGAAGCAGGTATCAAGGGTTCGGTGGCGTATTACGTAGGAAGATTACTCACAGCGCCGTTCGTAACACCGAGTCGCCAAAGGAGCTCAAAGTATCCCGAGCGCAAGCCCGAAAGATCACCAGTGCTAAGATCTTAGTCTTCATGTCCAAGATGGGCTACTGATATCTGTAAGCATTGTCGCCTTGCGTCTTTCCCACCAATACGCGAGCTTTGGTACCCGGATGACACCTCATGTGCAAGTTGGACAACGCTACGCGCAGCGGCTCAACTGGAATATCAATTAGCCATACACACTTTTAAGCTTCTGATTGGATGCTTAGTTGCCCAATCGTTATATCAAGTTGCAAGGGGCCCCTCGGTTCCACGTAGCGGCTGTTCTGGCACTTCACGACGAGTGTCTCAGTCGGGGGAATACGCCTTCAACCATGAACAATCACACCGTGTCTTTGCTCGGTCGCCAAGCCTGGTCAGCAAATGTATCCATACGTGCTTTCAACAACCAACCAAAATCTTCAATCGTCGTTCAGTCCATCCCCACGCGTTGCGAATGGTCCATATTTGTTACTACACGATGCATGGTTTCCATTCATGCTTCATAAGCAAATGGTGACATCGCGAATGATCATAGACTTATGAGCACGTATTTATAAGAGGCCCAAGAGCCATTTGTTCCTGGTTGCGAAGTTTTTCTAGATACAAGTGATCAATCACATTTTACGCGATGACGGTCAACAAATCAAAAGTCACTCAACATGCTTCAGAAAGCAATCCTCTCATTCTCATGGCGGCCTTCCCCGGAGAAGGTCATACCAACCCGCTCCTTGTCATCGCAGCATACCTCGTCAAGAAGGGTTACGAAGTTGTGTTTATTACAACTGAAGACTTCCGGAACAAAGTCGAAGAGGCGGGCGCCGAGTGGGTTCCTACCAACAGCCCTATGACCAACACGACCTACCAAGCCCTCCGCGAAGCAGCTTCTTTGCCGATTGGTCCGGAGCGGTTCGCTGCGCAGATCAAAGCTGTTTTCTTGGAGACACTTCCTCCACGAACGCTAAAGATGGAGGAGGTTCTTTCCCAATTACAAGCACGGAATCCAGACCGCCAGATCATTGTTGTCGAAGACATTTTCAACTGGTCGCTCTTTCCTTTCAGACATGGCCGTCCTCTGCCTCAAGGCTTCAATACGGCGCCCAAGTCTATTGGCATCGGTGTGGCAGCTTTTATGATGGAAAGTCAAGACACGGGACCAGTCTCGCTTGGCTTGCCCGCTGACGCCACCGACTCAGGTCGTCAGCGCAATGCGGTTCTCCAACAGTTGGTTGAGCGAGGCCCAATAAAACCTATGATCGATGCGTGGCAGCAGGCCATGAAGGATACTGGGTGTACGGCCATCCTAAAGACAAACATTTTCCGTTCGTGCTACACGGCGCATGACTATACGTTGCAACTTTGCTCTCCCAGCCTTGAATACAACATTTCGGACTTACCACCATCTGTGGAATTCGCAGGTGTCTTGCCTCGTAAGTCCGCTGCTCCAAGCTTTCAGTATCCTTCATGGTGGTCAGAGGTCGAGAGAGCTCAGAAAGACAATCAATACCGGCATGTGGTCTTCGTCTCCCAAGGTACTGTCAATATGGATTACTCCGAACTCGTTCTTCCAACAATCGAAGCCTTCTCTCAAACTGAAGACATCCTCGTTGTTGCAACCTTGGGTGGCCGTGGCGCTCAACTCCCTCATGGCTTTGTCGTTCCCTCGAACGCTAGGGTCGTGGACTATATGCCTTACGACATTATGCTTGAGTATACCGATGTATTTGTCTCCAACGGGGGATATGGCGCCTTAACACATGCTGTGAGGAACGGTGTTCCCATTGTACTAGCAGGAGAAAGCGAGGAGAAGATTGAAGTTACTATGCGGGCAGTTTACGCTGGCCTTGGCGTCAGTCTATCGACCCAGAGGCCTTCGACAGATCAAATCAGGCTTGGAGTTGACCGTATTTTCCAAGATACCAAGTTCAAAAAGGCGGCAATGAAGCTAAAACATGAGAATGATGGCATGGATGCATTAGCAGCGGTGGAAAGAAAGGTTCGTGCACTCACATTGTGAGGCCCGAAGGAGTCAACCGGTGTACAACGTGACTTTCTCAGCTTTACCATTCAGAACAAAGATCCCCTCCACTTGATACAATCTATTATACTATCCGCAAACTCCTCCTCTCTTCTCAATAACAGCAATTAGCACGCCTTCTATCATGCCGAATTGATTGTCAGCCATATCGCCTTCAGCTATGTTGCGCTATATCTCAACAATAGCGACTAGATTTAGCCTCTTGTTTGCCTAGTTGCGTGCATCATTGAACCTTTTTGAAGTTCTGGCCTTGCCTGGTTTTTGCGTTTACGCCAGCTCGTCTTCTTTGAGAATCTCTTATGGTTGTTTTTGTGCTATTGCTAGCTATGCTATTTTTACCGAGCCAATGCCTTGTGAAGTATCCCAGCGCACTGCACGCGCAAGCTTTGTCACTCCTTCTGTACATGTAGCACTATGGTGCGATTGCTCTAGATTCAAGCCCATTGCGGCGAGGGTCGGTCACAATACGGGCGCGAAGTTCTACTAGTATCTCGAGATCAGTCACTGTTGGTGTCGCTATTCTTTGTGCAAGACTTACGATGCAGCTAACGGACGCGTGACCCAACTGTGATTCGGAATTTATCCCGTTTCAGCTGGGCCATGATTAGTTTCCTCACGGCAGGTAAAATTCAAAAGCGGCAGATAGAAAATTTACCTGTACTGAGTACTGTCCCGGATAATTCGTGTCCAAGTATTCCTTGAGCTGGCTGGAGCTGACTTGAGATGCAGAAATAATGGCATTCTGGGTGCCATCCTGATTACATTGCCATTGAACCTTGCCGGAAGGTGTACGTCTTTGCTGCCAGGCCATGACGCTTACTCAAATTTGAGGTACGAAATCGACAAGGTGATTGTTCGGGGATCTGGTAGGGCGCGATGGAGGAAGCAGGCAGCCAGACGCCTTGCGCTACAGTCGTCGGAAGCGAAACTCCTATTTCAACCTGGAAATGGCCCGCGAAAAAGAGAATCGGCCGGGTGATCAGAGTGGCAAGAGTCGGCACATTGCTACCAATGAATGTGATTAGTCACCTAATTGTGAGGTCAAGAGTCGTTCCCATGAGCTCCTCATCGAGGACCTACTCAACTTATGAGGATGTGGTCGTCTAGTCCCTGACCGCCACATCATTGTCACACGGGTCTCACCGGTCATGTTGTCCCACTAGATTCCCGGCCATCAACGCAGACAACCTTGGCTTGTTGATTGGGTATGAGACAAGGGTCGAGGCGGACCACGGGCGACCCAGCCCCTCGCCTTGAGGCTTTGACCGACTGAGCCGCAGTATTAGCGTGTTGTCAACGCATGTTGGTTACACTGCAGGCAATAAAAGCAAGGTTCGCAATCCCTCACTGTCATGGGTGCGCTCCTTACATACAATCTGGTTTGTTCGAACTTCGCTGCCATATCACATTTCATCAAGTGGGCTGATTATTGGTGCTGCAAGCCATCGAATCCCGTGTCTTGCCGCGACAGTGCAGTGTTGCTCGTTGGAGCATCTTGCGCAGCACGTTCTCAACAGACTCATCTGGAGCATCGGAACTTCAAACCTTTCGACTATTCTCATGGTAGGAGTCGGATAATATGAATAATCTTTGAAAGTCTATTCTCATTGATTGCTCTTATGCTTTCTTTCATCTCGATTGAATCCCCAAAAGCATCAACGCCAGTCACGAAGACTAGTTCGTATACCCCCTCTGAACTCTCCGAGACACTTCCAAAGATCTAGGTACTCCGCCCATCCAGAATGTATAGAAACGAGAGTCACTGCTCTTTTGACAGGTTGGAAAGCTCATCCCTTCCTATCGTATTGCTTCCTTGCAGGCGATGTTGAGGCAGCCTGTGGGGGCTGTTGCTCGGCGTGAGGGATGAAGGTGGGCGGTGGGCCGAGGCCTCCTCAGGCATACACTTCGTCGGGCTCTCTCAGATGGAATAAGCAGGCTGTCTGACGGCACGTGTGGAATGCCAACTGCGGTTAAGTGCAAGACATAATAACCAGACCAATCACGATACTGCCCTCATCTTGCTGCGGCTTGTTGAGATCCTGGTGCGCGCCCCAGTGCCTTACTGCTTCTGCCTTATCAAGATGCCATCGCCATGTGCTCTCCGGCCGTTTCTCTGACCGAATTCTACATTAGATGCAAGGCCCGTCAACGAGGCTTTCCTAATAAGGCCAAGGATGTGTGACAGAGACTGGCAAGAAGATGGCAAGGCCAACAAATCATGGCCCGAGGCACCACTCCATCAACTGGGGATATAGACTCTGAGAAAGGTACTTCAACTCTCACAGCCCATTCTCTGTGTACGATTGGCTTTAAGATCTGCTCCATCCCGGCCCCATTTCTCCATCTTGCGTGCATGTGGATTTCGCACTTCTTCACGTAGCGTCGCCTCGTGGAATTCCTCTACGCTGGCGCGACGTCTTTGCGCATCACATTTGATTGATAGGCAGTGGTTATAAGTTGCGAGAACCAGCTCTGAGGACCGTCACTGAGCCACAATCTAGCAAAGGTACCAGTCGGACATCATTGGTGAGTTCACTGACCGGTGGGTTTTGGCTAAGAGCTGGACTCCCTAACATTGCATAGGTCAGACTACGTATTACTTGCATCATGGCAACCAAACCTCAAGAGGTTTTTAGGCTGCTGTTCCAACAAGGAAAGCTTGTATTGGATAATCCGCAGAAAGTCACACATATCCATGACAGAGGCGAGTCCTTTCGACTAAAGAGCGAACAACGAAATCCAGCAAGCCGAGGATCCATTGGGGCTTCCAGGCGACCAGAAGAGTTTCGTTTCGAACACGATGTGATCAGAATCATTGCCGAAGAACTCGACGAAGCGGCTGCCATGGTGCCTGACCTTCTGGAACCGGACAAGGACTTTATACCAAGGCGCACATTTGAACAGATCATGACACACAGCCGAATCTTATCTGCTGTTCATATGCTCAAGTGCTTCAAAGGCATACAGGACAAAGATCAGCTCGCCAGAGAAATCCAGTATGGTAGCGCAGATGGCTCCAAGTCGCCCTGTGTCAAGCTACTCGCAATTTTGATTGGAATTGACAAAGCCGAGGATATGGCAAAACACATGTGGACTGATGAGCTGAGGGACAGCTGCCTGCCCCTTCGAAAGGTACCCAACGACAGACGTCGAACGCTTCAGTGCAGGAAGCACAAGGAACATCGCCTACTCAATAGCTATCGTCGACCAGAAGATCGTAATAGATTTTCCCAATGGACCTACTCCATGTGCTCTCCCTTCATCAAATGGGAGCATGGAACACATCAACATTACCTTCTAGATACGGGAGACGTCTTCCCCATGGAGGTTATGGCTAAGGTTGAGGAAGAAGAAAGAAAATCAGATTCTGGTGGGAATTCATACGGGGGCTTCAGCGAGGTATACAAAGTAAAGATTCACGAAGGTCATTCTGACTTTGGAGTACATGGGGTAAGTTACATTGTAGAGCAGACCTTGAGAAGGGCCTGGGTAGGGATCAAATTAACTAACAGTTTCACCCATCTAGATTCGGCATCCACAAGGCTACTTTGCGCTGAAGAAACTCACATCGCATAGTCGCGACAGTTTCAATCTCGAGTTGTCGTCACTAGTTTCCACTGCCCAGAACTATCAAAAGAAACACATCATACAGCTCCTGGCCACATTCGAGGTTAAGAATGCAGCGACAAGAGAATCAACATTCTATCTCTTGTTTGACTGGGCCGATGGAACACTGAACAAGTTTTGGCAGAGCAATGAAGCTCTAGTGAGAGATAAACGGCATTGCAAGTGGATGGCGACTCAGTTTTATGAAGTTTCCGAAGCTCTTCGCTATGTTCACAACGATCGCGAACCAACTGTACGATATCTAGAAGACCGAGACTCCAACAAGCAACTGTATGGACGCCATGGGGACATCAAGCCAGGTAAATTGACTACTCTTATCCCATTTTATACACGACTTACTGAAAGACTCTCCCCCAGGAAATTTCCTTTGGTTCAAATCGGATAGCTTTCCTGGTCTTTTGGCCTTAGCGGATTTCGGTCTCGGGCGACTGCACACTCAAGTTTCCCGCTCAAAACAAGACCCCAACAGCCTGGAAAGAACGGCAACGTATCGCTGCCCCGAATTTGACCTGGAATTTGGTCTCGTGTCACCAAGGTCGGATATCTTCAGCCTAGGATGTGTGTTCCTCGAATATGTCACCTGGTTTTTGCTCGGGCTCGAAGATGTGGAAAAAACCTTTCCCGATTTCAGACTGGAACAAGATAAACATGGTTTCGACTCTGATGTCTTTTTCTCAATCAAAGACAAGAAGGCTTATCTCAAGTCTTCGGTTACCAAATGGATAACGAAACTCGAGAACCACCGCGACTGTTCCTGGTACCTTTCGGACTTGCTTGACGTCATTCGAGACCGCATGCTAGATCCCGAGTCCACGACGAGAATCCCATCAAGCTTATTGAGCAAAAGGATGAATGAACTTTTGAAGGCTTGCACCGTCGACCCCGATTACTATCTCAAGCCCAAAAGCTAAGATTCGCGAAAGAGATGGCTGAGAAGCCCAGGCAACTTTCCTAAGACCCGGGAAGGTGGATGGATCAAATCTTTTCATGCTCAAGCTCAAACCCAGTAGCATGAGCTATCATTGAGCCCGCGTCAGACCACGAACTTTAGATTTCATCAATTACACGATTCAAAGAAGAAAGGTCAGGGCGTCCACACATGTCCGACCTTAAGACAACGTTTCAGTTCGAAACGTCAGAATTTCCATATCCCGAGCTTGAAAGCCAACTACTAACTCAATCGCTGTAGTGGACTCTAATGCGCTGTTCGATCGCTGCTAGCTCGCCCTCCAAACCCGAATACGTTAGTTCGTTCAGTTCAACTTGTGGATTTACCAGGGGGTATATCAGACCTTTTCAAGTGGCTTGGGCAGCATGAGGATGAATCTGTTGGCTCTTTCCTGTTTGAAGCT